GTTACTGTAGTTGGCCTGGTCTCAGTGTCTCAGTCAGTATACGTAATCATATGAAAGTCAAGGATCCATAAAAATGATATCGGGGAAATCGCAGGGATCCAATGTAGTCAGATTCGGGGTATCCGTGAGACTGATGGTTTTTTTAAAGTTCGCACAGGCATCATCCCACCAATCAAATTGTGCGATTGTGCGGCATCGGTGAGACGTATGTTGTGTAAAGTTCATCTTGCTACCCACCACCCCGAAGGAGCCCAGTGCAAACCCGGCATTTTGCATTGGATGATGTGTGGAAAATTTGTGATGAAAATCGTGTTGTTTCTCCTGTAAGCACCTTAAAATGGAGCTTTTGCAAAGAGTGGGAGAACTAATAAAGGCAGAGGAGTTCCGAGGGCCAGCTGAGTTAAAACATACAGAACTAGCAAGACTTGAAAGGGTTGTCAACTTTGCACTGAACTGACAATAAGTTTGCAGCCTCTTTTCTTTCAAAGAAAGACGTAGTTGTGTAGCCTTCAGTCAATGAGAGGGTAGCTGCGGCGAGGTATTCAAGGCAAATTTATGTGGACAGCCTGCTTATTACAGTCGTTCTGAAATTGTTTACATATTACCCTTTGCTTTGGTTAAATTTCATCAACAAACGAAGCAACAACAACAGCAACAGATAATTTGGGTTGATGGCTGAAGGGGGTTTCTGAGAGACGTTGTTTGATTTTAATTAAAAAGCTTGTAGCAATTTCCCATTTATGAATGCTTAGTTAGGTCCAAATAATTTGACTCTGGTACAACACTCTCCCTGGTGGTTCTGCCTTCAGATTAATTTCCTGAAATGATATGATGAAACACCCAAAAGGAGGTGAATGATGCTCTTGCCATTGAAAGACAGTGTAAGAAATGACATTGTAGTGTTAACTTATGTAAACCATGTAGTAGAATGAATTTATGTGATCTTTCTTGTGATCTAAGCAAATATTTAAATTGTTCATATGCTTGTATTTTGAAATATCCTACTTAGGGCTTCCATTTTATTCCCCTTTCTAATTTAAAAACGATCAGCACTTCTTTTGACCCATTTTCCTTTTCAAATGATCATGTATTTTTTGGACGTTTTCTTTATTTTGATATGTATTATGAAATAATATGTAGGTTTCTTCTGATACCTGACAAAAGTGGGCCCTCAGAGATACCATGGTCTACTTCTATTCATAAAAGCTTTTTGAGTCAATCTAATTTTTGTGTTTAATCAACAAAAGAATTGGCAGCTAATGGTTGCCTTTCATGAACTATCATTTGCAATTCATGAAAGAGTTGCCTTTGGAGAGAAACTATTAAAATTTTCAAAAACAACTTTATGATTACTCAAAATGTACAAAAATAATTCCATCTAATTTATTTGTACTACAACCAATATTCTTGAGTGTCTTATTTGACTCCATTTCAACACAAATTTGATTAAAATTGGATTCCCAGCATTATATGTTTTTAGTATTCAACAGCAATACAATAAATATATGTTTTTAGTGTTTCATAACCTGGCAAGCAGCAGTAATATTAGTTTAAGTGAGTTTATGAATATACTTCATAGAAATCTAGATTTATTAATTGGAGTGTAAGCAAAAGCCTGATGCAAGTTATATTTCAATCTCACATTAAATCCACTACAGATGGAAACTGTCTATAAAGCTCAAACTCCATATGCATCAATGGGAAAATATTTTATATTCTGTTCTGTGCTCTATCACTTGCTAGAGATAGTATTATTGTTCCACTCTGTTATGTTTTTTTCAGGAAGTTCCTTTTCTAATGCTCTTTTATAGTTGTTCTATATTGCTGCTATCCTACTTTCATAATTTGATGTCATTGTACTTTTGGGTTTTCTTGCTTCTATTCTAGTTACTGATCCCTTTTTATTATTTTTGTGTAAAGAAATGTCAAGAGTACATTTTATGTCTCTCTAGAAAACGTAATGGTGTAAGGCAACTACAATGCCTGTAATCATCAAGAGCACAATAAAGAAACAGAGAATTCGTAATGAAAAAATGATGTTGAATTAGCAATTTCAGCTTGTGCCCCCCTGCAACCTTCAGGACCCCAAACCCTCAGCTGGATTGTGAGACAGTCAAATTTTCTT